ATGTATTCTGCCCCCCTATAGCAAAAGACAAGGAATTTTAGCAGGAATTAAAATGCTCACAAGAGGCAAGCAGCCAGGCGGCAAGTAGGGGTTTAAAACTTGTTCAGGCGTGTCAGGACCGCGATTCCGGGCATGCGTGTTTCTGTCTGCTAGTAAAAAAAGGGAGTTAGGCCTTGTTTGGGACATGCCCAGGCATGTCATACTCCCCGTGATCTGGGCATGGCATTGCAAGGGGCAGGGGAGTTTGTACGGGCAGGCCTGAACAGCTAGCGATTTAATCCCAGCAGTCTTTTGAAGATGGCAACCCCTGATGGTGATTTGTTTGATGTAAATTTGACCCCCAAACCTCCCACCGTGGGCGCAGAATAAGAAAAGGACCTGAGTTATACGGCTTCATTGAAGAGAACAAGCTTACAAAGCCTTGTTATTGCAGATTCTGCAAAACATCAAATGGTAAGTAAATATATATATATTGATTGGTTGAAACAGCTAGCCTAAATCTACCTTATTTCCTGCTTTAGAAACGGCGGAGTCTCAAAATGTCAGCATGCCTCAGATTCTGAAAGCGTGTATCATTAAAATATTACACCACTGCTTAATGGGATGTCTACAATCAGATGAAGACCACATAGATGGTACCAGTGAAACAACGTATTAACAGCTTATGCTTTAGACTTTCTATGCCTCATGTTCTCTGGATCATCATCAGTATTTCTGACAAAATGAATAACTTACATTTCACCCAGGATTCCCTTGATGATCTCAAGACATTCATACAGTGTATTGAAAAGAGCCGTAAACCACTGTCATTAAAGGCAAAGATTGAATCTGAATTGCCATTGTCTCTGAAGAGATTCATATGCCAAAATGTAACAAATTAATTACAACAAGCTGTTAATGCTATGAAATTTATAATAAAATGGGCTTTACAAATCACATGAAAGATGTATTATGTTTTTCTTTTGCTGACTCCTGTTTAACTTTGGCAGATGTTAAACACAATTTAATCAAAGCTCGTGGGATATTATTCAATAGTGTTTTCCTGATGAGGCGGGGCTGGCCAGTTTTGCAAAAGTTGTGAAGAACTCATCAACTCTGATGTGATTAATTTGTAACATTACGTACTATTTAAATGCAGCTTTGCAAAAGTTGTGAAGAACACACCTCCTCTGATGTGATTAATTTGTGACATCACCAGCGTATACAAAAGCAGGGTCCATACTGGTCTAGTCACATTTGCTGGTTTCTGGCATATCTGTACCTCCGGAGCCATTTGATCTGCTAAGAAGACCCTTTTCAGAATGGAAGCCACTATTGTAAGTAGTTTTATGGCTAATTTTTGAAACACTTAGATGCAAAATGGAGTTTTAGAATATTCTTGTCTGCTTGCTTGTTTGACTGATTGATTGTTTTATTTCACTAGAATGAATTGACAGACTCAGAATGTTTGAGGGCTTATGAAGGTATTTGTCTTTCATATTTTCATACATTTAGAGTCTGGTAAACATTTCTGCAACAATTCTGACCATTGGGATTTTTTTTTCCTTCAGAATGGGAGGATGACCAGTCATTTGCTGATATTGCTATTACCATAGAGAACCAATTGACAGACTTAGAATGTTTGAGGGTATATGAAGGTATTTGTCTTTCATACATTTAGATTCTTATAAACATTTCTGCAACAATTCTGACCATTGGAATTTTTCTTTTCCTTCAGAATGGGAGGATGATCAGCCATTCGTGGATCTCACAATCCCCACAGAGCACCAAGGGGCCCAGCATGACATTAGGCCTCAGCCTTCCACAAGCCACGCAACACAAATGCTGTTAGGAGGTATAATAATGTGATACAGACTCTTTTGGATATTGTTGCTAGGGACATAGGTCCAAACGATTTTGTTCAACTCTGGCTGGATGCAGAGTGGTTAAATCATCCTCTCTTTTCTCTTAGGAGGAATATGAATGATTTAAATGCCGATGATTTTCTGACCAGTATTGAAAATCTGCTTCAAAGTAAGGCAGAAATATTGGGGGGGGGGGTAATTTGCAATTAGTGGTTACCATCGTGAAGAACAAGGAGGGGGGAGGTCTTAGGAAGTTAAACACTGTGCTGCTCGCCAAGTGCTGGAGAAAAAAAGACAGCACCTAGTAGATTTCAATGTGGGAGGTGAATTTCTGTGTTTTGCTAGCTGTTTGCTCTGGCTGATTGGCGGGGATGTTAGAAATCAAGAAATTATTACCAGGGCCAGGGAACTTCACAATAGACTGGGTGTTTCCACAGAAAACAGAATTGACTTTTCTCAGATACACCTCTTTGAAGAAGATTTAAGGGTCACTATAAAGATCTTGTTTTATATGCAGGACGGTTGGCGTTTTTTTGTCACAAGTAGCCTCCAGCAAGAAAAAATTGTGGCATCAAAAATATCAAGGGCTTCCTGGGTGAATGCTATTTCTGTAAATTCTGCCACACACCCTACCACCACAAATTTAGTCATGGCTGTCAATATATCTGCAGAGCATGCCTCAACCAAGAATGCCAGCAGGTGGTGGAGGAAAAGACGCGCTGCTGTAGGTGCAAAGAGCTTTGCCGGTCTAAGGTGCAAAGAGCTTTGCCAGTCTACACACAGCTTGCTATGGAGGGAAAAGTTGACTGTAAGAATAAAGAATATTGTGAAATATGTGGGGTTTACATCATTAGCCCCCACAAAAAGTGCAAGGAAACCAAGTGTGGACAGTGCTCTGAGAAGGTTGAAAGCTTGGAAGGGCATTTATGCTTTCTAAATTCATTGGACCGGCTGCAAATTGGCGAAAGATATATCATTTATGATTTTGAATGCTGTCAAGAGACAGCATCCATATACCTAATTATGCCTGTGCCAGGAATATGTTGAAGGATGGGGATGATAAAGGTGTTGTGAGGTGGGATTGTTATGGTGTTAGATGCCTGGAGCAGTTTGTAAAGAATTTTATAAATCATAAGTTTAAAGGATGTACTTTTATCGCTCACAGCTCCAAAGGCTATGACGGGTACCTAGTACTGAGGCAGTTGATCCGTGAAAAGGTTAAGGTTCAGCTTATAAGTCAGAGGGGGAAACAGCTGTGTATCACCCTACCGGATTATAAGATCCGGTTTATTGATAGCCTCTCATTTTTGCCCCTTAAATTAAGCAAATTACCCAAAGCTATGGGGTTTCAAGGCAGCAAAGGATATTTCCCCCACTTGTTCAATACAATGGCCAATCAAGACTACGTGGGACCACTCCCTGAAACCAAGTAATACAACCCTGAAACCATGATGCCCGGGGGGAGAGAAGAATTCATGAAATGGCACTCTGCTAATACAGGTACTGTGTTTAAACTAAAGAAGGCTCTGGCTTACTATTGCAGACAAGATGTAGATATATTAAGATATATTAATACAGAGGCCTGTATTCAATTTAGGGAACAGGTGATGGAAATGACTGAGCGTGAGTGTTTCAGGGGGGTCGGGGGGGGTATTGTTGAGAAGATAGTGATTCGATGCATTGACCCCTTCATACACATTGGCATCTGTATGGCCCAGTACCGGTTCATGTATTTGAAGAGCTATACCATTGCATTAGCTCCTTTGGACAGTTATCACAAGACACAGAAAAGGTATTCAGCTCCAGCGATTCAATGGTTGTTGCATATAGAGCACACTGAGAATCTCAATATCCAGCATGCTCTGAAGGGGGTTGAAAAGCAAATAGGCAAATATTTTTTGGATGGCTTTGCTGTCATAAATGGAATTCCCACAGCTTTTGAATTTTACGGTTGTTTTTTTCATGGGTGCCCTGTCTGCTACTCTGAAAAAGACTTCAACAAATTACTTGATTCAACATATGGAGGCCTGCACAATCATACTAAAATTAAAGAAGAGTACCTCAGGGACCAGGATTATGCTGTGCGCAGCATCTGGGAACACGAATGGAGGGTCATAGTGGAGGATGACACCTCTTTGAAGCAGTTTCTAGTTGAGAATAACCTCCCAACTCCTTTGAATCCTCGAGATGCTTTTTTTGGTAGTAGAACAAATGCTACATGCCTGTACTACAAACCAAAACCTGGTGAACAAATCTTATACTATGATTTCACCAGTTTGTACCTGTTTGTGAATAACACCAAGGAGTACCCAACTGGCCATCCGCAAATCATCTACCAAAACTTTGGGGACATAAAGCAATATTTTGGTCTGGCCAAAGTCAAAGTGTATCTGCCAAGGAATCTCTATTTCCCAATCCTACCCCACAAATCAGGGGGCAAATTAATGTTTAGTTTGTGTGCAACCTGCACAGAAAAACTGCAAGCCACCCCCTGTAAACATAGTGATGAGGAAAGAGCTCTGACATGGTGTACCATTGAATTGAATGTAGCTTTAGAAAAAGGTTACAGAATTGTTGAAATCTATGAGATCTGGCATTTTGAAAGAACATCAAATGAGCTATTTTCAGGTTATATGAACACGCATCTCAGACAGAAACAGGAGGCCAGTGGTTACCGTGACTGGTGCAAAACAGAACAGGATGAAGAGCAATATATTCAGGATTATGAAAAGATGGAAGGTGTCTGCTTACGCCGTGACCACATTGAAGTAAATCTGGCTAAAAGACAGATTGCCAAACTGCTTTTAAATTCGCTGTGGGGCAAGTTTGGTCAGAACACCAATCACCTGACCACATCCGTGGTGACAAACCCTGAGAATTTATTCAAATACCTTTTTGTGCTCTATTATGATGTTTCCTCATGTGAGTTTGTGGATACGTTGTGACGTGGAAAACAGCTAAGAACCATCCCACCAAATCCACATACACTATTTCCCCAGCTTTTGAGGCACTGATTTTTAAAACTCCACAAAAATTAAAAGCATCGTTAGGCTAGAATGATTAGAAATAAAAAGCCTTTTTATTTTTTATTTCACAGCTCCCCAAAGTAGGGCTTGTTTCCCAAAAACACAGGCCTCTGCTAATTATTCACTTTACTTAGCTTTTTTGGTTTTGAATGTCCATAGAATTAGTCTAGGGTTAACCTAATCATGTACCCAGAGGATTGACTACCAATCTTGATGGGATTAGACCAACACGTCATATCCGGAGGGTGGGAGCTGAGCACGTCCCTTCTGCTTAGGGCCATAACCTGTTGACGTAATCAGCATGTGGGTTTGTTTACTTTGATGACATCACTGATCAAAAGTGCTGATAATTTTCATTAAAAAAGGTATACACTACTTCTACTTACGTCACAACATATCACATGATGTTGCAAGTTTGACACCCCTGTCCTACATCCTTCCTCACATTATCTTAGCATTTTCTCTTGTAAGCTAAGATCTGCCACAGTGTGGCTCACCTATCACAGGCAACTGCAACACTGGTTTGGTTACAAGGATATGTATGCATGCATGAGGGAAGTGGGGGTGCTAAGTGTTTCTGATTGGCTGTAAGTGCTATTTCAAAGTTCAGAGAGTAGCCCCAAGTTTGCTCCATCATAGCATAGCTATGCTATAGTATGCGCTCTTTGTGCCACAGCAAAAGATCTAAGCCTTGCCAGGTCAAAGGCACTAAAGAGCTACGCCAAGAGTCAAATAGCTGGAAGGGAAGGACACTGAGAGACTAAAACCCGTGTGAGTTGTGTACCCACTAGGTAAAAACAGTGAGTTGCAATTCAATGAATGTGCAAACCCACCATCAAGCAGTTCAGCATGTTCTGTGAGCCCAGAAAATTGTCTTAGAAGATTAAAGCTTTATGATTAATTCTGACATGTCGAGTGAATTGTACAGTGGCTGAAAACAATTCTTTGCTACCACAAGGAAAGCCATGTCCAAATGAGAAGGGTAACTTAGTCCATCTGCTTAGGTAATGAGTAAATCTGTCTGTGATGTGTCTGAATCTCCCTCACGTATAAGCCAATGTACTGCAACTGGAGTTAAGCTTTCCAATCCCTGCAATCCCTCCTGAAGAGTAACTGTACTTGATACAAGCTTGAAAGAAGTTATTTTGTCACTTAGTTTTACTTACAAGTAAAACAGAAAAGGAGAAATTGGGATCTCACATCTAAGACTTTGTCCAGCTGTTGTGCTTTACGAAGTATAAATTATAATTTATAATACATTTATAAATACAATTTATAATACAATTATAAATCAAATTCTCGGATCTTGTAATAACTTGTGCTATAAGGTCAGTTCAAGGCAACCTGGGCTGAAGGGGGGGTACCTTTTGGCCAGGGGCAGGTCCCATTTTCACATGGCCCTGCAAAGAAACTGGTAGAGCAGCAGATGCTCAGCGCTAAATGTAGCAGCCTCAGGACAATCTTTCTTGGACAACATTGACCCTGGATGATCTTTGGCAGCCTTATGTGCTGCCCTAGATTTGAGGCAGAATCGAGGGGGCAGTTGGGAAAATACAGGCACATGTTCTCCCCAGAAAGATAGAAGAGTGCAGATCTTTTGACCACCCAAGCTGGGAAAAGCTCTTCAGTCTCTGCTCAGCAACTTCCTCTTCCCAGCCTCCCAGCTCTCAACTGGAGCCTCGTTGGGATTTAAAACGTGGCTACAGCAAGATCCCAACGAATTGCTTCATAGGGATGTGCTCATGGCTGGCAGATTCTGGGCGAGGGAGAAGCAGCAAAGGGGCTCGCTGGCTTTGAAGGGGAGTTCCTGCAAAGTCCGGGACAGAAGTGCTGCGGTGGGGGAAGCGAGGGGCCTTTGGATGGCCACAGCTTTCCTTCCGGCCCGACCAGGCTCGTCCCTCCGGGTTGCTTTGGCTTGACGGTCCCGGCTGGTTCTGAAGTCAGCAATCAAAAGGGAGGCCGTGGTGGCCGCCGTGAAAAGCCCCGCAGATATTCCTGCTTCGGGTAAGCTGCAGCCGAAGCCGCCGCTGTGCCGACCATTGCGGCAGAAGAGCGTTGGCACCGAGCCGCGGGCTCCAGCCTCACTCAGGACGGCCTCCGCTTAGCCAAGCCGGGCACCGGGCGCTGGGCTTTTCCCCCGTGGGCTCCGCTGAAGCCACCGGATGCCCCTCCGGGCTGCTCGCGGTAAGTACTCCCGTGCCGAAAGGAGGAGAAGACGGATTAGGTGGGAGCAGGCTGGGCAGAGAACCCGAGGGACTGAAGACAGCCTCGGGGCGCCACCACAAATGCCGGGCCATCCCTCACTCTCCAGCCGGGAGGGCTCGGCCCCCCTCGCCTTTGCTCCCAAGACCAGCCGGAAGGCCTTTCCCGGCCGCTCCATCAGCCGCCTTTCACGTCGGGTCCAAGGGGGGGCAGCTGCTGCCCTCGCCGCCGGCTCCCCACGCAGACAGCTCCGGAGACCCAGGAGACTCGGCCGCTTCTGCCAGGCGCCGACAGCTGCCCTGCCCCGCGCAAAATCCCCTGCAGCCTCTCCCGGTGGGCGCCAGAAACCCCGCGGGAGCGGCCGTGGGCATCCTGACGGGACAAGTAACCAGGGCAACGGCGCCTCCAGAAGTTGTGGGTGTTGGCCAAACCTGAGCAGGGGTTGGACTAGAAGACCTCCAGGGCGCCTTCCAACTCGGTTATTCTGTTAATCCGGCAGCTCAGCCCGCTCCTGTGGCTCGGTTCTTAGTCCTTGCTCCGCCAGTGCAGCGCCTGGGACTGCGGAGGCTCCGGCCCGGCCCGGCCCGGCCCTTCCTCTCCTCTTCCGCACAGAGCCCTGTGGGTTCCTCCTCCGCCAAGCGGCGCTCGCCGCCCCCGTGCCGTTCTCGCCTTTCTGCCCGGAGGGAGAGCCAGGGCAATTGGGCGCTTTCAGAAGGTTCCGGGGAATCTCTCGAGTTGGAGGTCAGCCGAGAGCCCCGTCCAGCAAAGGAGGGGCAGAGGGGGCGTCGGGCCGGCCTGCCCGCCAGCGAAGCCTCTGCGGAGACAGCCGCGCCCCTGCTCGGTCGCAGCGCCTGCCCTCGAGGATGGGCCCCTCAGGATCTGGCGCTCCCTGGGGCCGTGGGGGGGGGTGGGGTTGGGCGTTGCTCTTTCATTTAGTTTTGGTTAGGTTGATGGCTACTTCTTATTATATTGCTTTTGTATTCTCAAGCAAGTTCAAATATAATGTAAACTTGGCATTAGATATAGACACATAAAATCATAGAACTGGAAGGGACATCGGAGGTCCTGTAGTCCAACCCCCTGCTTAAGGCCTTATACCATCCCAGCCAAATGGTTGTCCGATCTATTTCTGAAACTCTTCAGTGATGAGAACAGCAGGAACCCCCGGAGGCAAGCTGTTTAATTGATTAATTTCTCCTTATTTCTAGTTTGGGTCTCTCTTTAACAAGCATCCATTTATATTATTTCTTGTCCTGCCTTCCGGTGTCTTAGACAATTAGTGAATCCCCTCTTCTCTGTACTGGAAGGCAGTTATGTATCTCAGATAAAACAGTTTAACAAGTAAAATATTTAATAAGCATATCATAAGACACAAAATCCCAACATTGGTTTGTTACTAAAAGTGTTGTTTTTAAAATAGGGCAGATAACTCCCTACCATATGCATTTAGTTAGACAGAAGAGGGAGGGAAGGCTGAGGCATCTAGGAGAACTCTGAGCTGATGGCAGATGAGGAGCTCCCCAGATGTTTGCTGTTCCAAGCAGAATCAGATAAGTCAAGCTGAGCGGGGCATGGGTAAACCTTCCTTCATACGACACAAGTGCTGACAACAATTCATCAGAGCATTTTAAGAGCACTCCTGCATTTCACATAAATTTAACATTTAACATAAATTATAATGCTGTACCATTCCAAAATCCATACTGGTCAATTGTCAGCTTCTATAAAAGTCACTTTAAGTTATTGTGAGGCACTACTATGTTACATTTGGTCAAGACAGTATCATAAATCCATGAGCAAAGATGTCTCAGAATTGTTTACATGGCTCATGTCCAAGCTCAGTTCTCTTGTTTGGCCATGTTATTTTAGTTTCAAATATTAAATACATAACTATCCTTTATTTCTCTAAGTACCAGTATCTTATTTTTGTTACATTTTCTTTTATAGTTATACGTATGTCAAAGGAAAAAAGTGTCTAAAAGAGAGCAGATTTTATATATTTTCCAAAAGAGCTGAACACGTCCATCCCTGCAAGTTAGAAGAGAATCTGTCCCAGGGGAAGAATGTAGGAACAGAGAATGAAACCAAAAAGCCTGTAGGAATGACCTCACTGTTGAATAATCATAAAATAACCAGAAATCTTATTTCCAATAAATAATCCTGCTTTGCTATTTAATCCCTTTTCAATTTTCTCCTGTGCAACAGTCATCTTTCAGCATACATTATGTGCAAATTCTCAAGAATAGTTCTGCACACTACGACCTAACTGCATTTTTCAGTGCTTAGCCAATGTTTTAACTGTTGTCAGTTAAAAGAATGCCTTTGTAGAATTGGTCTCAAGACTTTTAATTCTAAGAACTTGGCCAAGGTAGGCTGAATTGAATAGGATGCTAAATTATGTCTCAATAGAATAACTGACATTTGTTCCCCAAAAGATTTATGAAGTCCACCCATGGGGAGCTTTGTTCTTTGTATCCTCCCCAGCTGAGGAAACAAAGTATTCTGTAGCAAATTTTCATTGATGCATTAACTCTAGAGAAAGTCACAGGAACAATTTCATGTCAGGTTTTCATAAAGCTTCCCCTGTGGTTATTGGCTGTTCATTGAAGGTGGAGAAGTTCTATCTTTTTTATCCAGAAAGCTGATGGAAGTAGTTAATGATCTAACTGGCTCTTAGATAGGCAGTACAGGGACACAATTCTCGATCTTTTGAAATCAGCTCACTCAGCAACCTGCCACAAGTTGACTTACAAGCCAATGCTTGTCCTGTCCAAATGTCTTCTATTACAATCAAAATGCCATGAAATTATGCACAACCTTTGAATTATCCAGAATGCAGATGTGGTTTTTGAATATTTCCCTCAAGAAATCTGATCAATATATCCATATCAACATTTGTCTCTGATCACAACCTTCAATATTCTGTGTGGCATGCAAAATAGTATTTTAATGTCCAATTATCTGATATTGAACTTTGAATGGAATTTGGAACTGTCCTATTTTCTCACCTTAAACTAAATCTTTTCTGATATATTTGCATGCTGTTTGTTATGACAGTTGTAGTTCAGTACCTTGAGGATTTATTGCACCTTGGATGTATCTGGAGTGTCTTGTCAACTTTTGCCCTACAATCCTAACAGGTGCATTTAGTTGGTTCAGAGAGATTGGTAGCCTTCTGTTCTCTCCATGGTCCTGCCTATCATATATTATGTGGGTGGTTAATTCCAGATGCTCAGGTAAGTCTATTTAATACAGTGCCAAAAAGCTCCTTTATATCATTTGACAATTTTCATTAAAATATAATCCTAAATCTCTGGGATATGATTCCTAGCTATGCCATTTCTTCTGATAGAGTTATTTGCAGGGATTTTATAATTATAAAAATAATGCTCAGAGAAGTTAATAGCAAGATGATGATAAAAATATGAAATCATACTGACAATATAGAAGCAGGTCTATAAGACCCTAGTTTAGCTGCAGGTTAAAAGGCAAAGGTCATGTTTCTCCAAATTTCTTGCTACTTTCTTTGATCATTCATTTTTATTGTGCTGACTACAAGTTCCTTTGGGAAGATTCTGCAGCAGATAAGACTGGAATAAATTGATAAACAGTGCAGTAAGGGAATGAGAATGAGAATGTCCCTGTTTCTGGAATTAAACCCTAAGCCAGGAATAATATCCTTGGTGTAGCACAGCAGTATAAATTAGTGTTTTCCACATTGATTCTAGCAAAACAGGCATAATTATAAGCAAGAGGAGTAAGCAAAATAACAAAATAATGTTTAAAAAATCTACTACGGCTTAGAGTAGCTAACTAGTCTTAAATGTTTGAAATATTGAGGGGAAAGTCCTGAAGCTGCACTTAGACTAACCATTTCCTCATTCCCCATCACTGCATGACAAATGCAGATCACTGTTTCAGTCTCCAATACATCCTTTATGTTAATTGGACTCATCTTCCAATGTAATCCCAAGTTGCCTTCACACACCCATGCAAGGTCCTGGAGGTCCACTTCATCTGATTTGTCAGATCTGGGTTTCTACTCTGTTTCTGCTGTGTCTCCCTGACGGTTTATGAGGTTATTTTCTAGCTCTAGGTGGGATTCAACTGCCCCTATTTCTTGGCATTTAAAAATACTTTATGTAGTTATCAGCTGCAGCATGGAGCTTCCGTGGGGAGAAGAGAAAGCAATGGTGGACTTAGATTTGGGGTTGGCTGCACATCTAAATAAGGAAATTCAAGTCCCACAATATTTTAGAAAAATTGTTTCGTGTAGGAGTTAAGATCCATAACTTGCCAGTGAAATCTACTAGAAAAATAGGTGAGGAAAGATTCTTTAATTCTTGAACTAAATGGTTGAAGAAGCATATTTTTGTGTTTTATAAAATAGTCTGATGTCCTGAAATAACAATTTTACTATTTTTGAACTTATTTCAGTTTTAGAAAAGAGTATACTGAAACTACAGTCACTCCAGCATTTTAACAAGAGGGATAACTGGCCCAAACCAGAAATAGCCCCCACCTCCCGTAAGGTCACATGTTTCTTGGAGGAAAATAAGTGGTTTCATAGTTTTCTGTGTGGCCAAAGGTGAACCAATTAACATCAAATTTATATGTTTCTGAAGGTATTCAATGGTCTAGTCCAGACATGTCAAACACAAGGCCCAGGGGCCGGATGCGGCCCGCAAAGTGGTTTCATGTGGCCTGCGAAGCCATCCTGGAAACAGTGAGGGAACGGCCTCTGCTGCCTTGGCCCTGGCCCAGGCCAGCTGGGAGCCAATGTACAATTTTGTGGTGGCCATCTTGGCACTTGCCCTGGTGGACCATGCCTTGGCACTTGCCCTGGTCCCACCCCCTTCTGCCAGAGACCCTGAGATCCCCAAAGGCACCCTTGACGCGAATGATGTAGAACTGGCCACGCCCACCCAGTAGGCCATACCCACTCCATCCACACCTACCCAGTAGGCTGCACCCACTCTGGC